TTTTAAAAAAGGTTATAAAAAATGTCAATAATTATCGATACCGAACAATATGAAACATTATATCGTTGATAAATTTTTTTGCTATATCGCCCAGCCCTACGCTAAAGCCTGACTTCTACACAGTAATCACCTGGAAAGATACTGTGGAATTGGATAAATGTGATGAATCTCTCTTTGGATGGGATGAATATTATTTAGTATTATAATAATACTTCAAAAAACACACCAGGGGAAAATAATTTCAGTGAGTTTTGAGTTATTGTATTAGGTATTGCAGGACAAATGCATGGTTTATTCTCAAGGCTTTCTACTTTTTAAATACCTTTTAAGACCAAGTAAAGAACATTTAACGATTAGTTTAAAGATCTCCATTACCCTGTAATTAATTGTAAAAAAAAAAAAGGTTAATATTTGAATAACTCCGCTTCCAAAAAGTGAGTTTATGATTAAAACAAGAACACATATCTGCCAATGCACTCAGAAATATCAACTTAAAAGTAATTTTCATACCACATTGACAGATATTTGCTCTTGTTTAAGCATAAACTTACTTTGTTCAGTTTCTCAGATGTCATTGCTTCATTTTGTACTAAATGTATCATGATTTAAGGATGTTTAGGTATTTGTACTGCAAGCAAGATATGATTTTTTTTGGATCAAATGCAACAATTAATGCCATGACTTTGAAGACTTTCTGCTCATATAGTCTGCGCTTGTGGAAGGGCAAATTAAGACGTTTTTAAGACTTGCAGAAACTGGCTGAAAATCTGCAGTCTCCTTCACTTATAATTCAGTAAAAGCAGAACCTCTTTTAAAAGCACATTCGCTCTACACATTAATTACAGGACTTGCTGAAACGAGCAGCGGTGTGTGTTCTGTGTTAACCTGTACTGACACGACCCAAAAATGTGGCTGTTGAGATGGGAGTCCACCAATATGAATTTCTGGCTCGATACTGTGGTTTGCGGTTAACGGTTTAATTGTTTTGTTCATGTCAGTTACAGTGCGACTGTAATACAAAAACCTAATGGTACTGCACGGAGTTGACCTTTTTTCCTTTGTGTCTGAGACCATATTAAAATCTTGGAACTCAACTCAGAACCGTTATGACGTAAAAAGAAACAGCGATTGTTCACTTCTAAACTTCTGTGATTTCTAAGCTGAAATAAGCTCATTTTTGACCCTGGACCACAAAACCAGTCATAAGGGTCATTTGAGATTAATACATTATCTGAAAGCTGAATAAATAAGATCTCCATTGATGTATGGTTTGTTGGAACATGATATTTACTTAATATCCTAATGAATTTTTGCATAAAAGAAAAATGGATAATTTTGACCCATACAAGGTATTGTCGGCAATTGCTACAAATATACCCCAGCGACTTAAGATTTAAGCTCCAGAGTCACATTTGTGACATTAATAATGTGAACCCTTTTGCACAAAATGTCTGATTTCACATTCTCAAAGCATGAGTCTTTCATTGTAACTTACTTCTCAAATGGAGGTTGATTTTTTTATGGGATTTCATGTTACTAAAAAAAAAATCTCTTGTAATGAAAAATGTAAGCAAAAATAGAAGCCGTCACTACCGGTCACAGACGTTTGGGTTCACTTGAGATGTTCGTATGGAAAATCATGTCGTTTCAGCTGCTCTTTCATTGTGTCTGGAATGGATTTCTTGGTTGATCAATAGCAGTTCAAAGGTCATGAGGGTCTGATTACCATAATGGCTAGAAGGTGCTGCTGGCTGCAACAGCGCTCTTATATTGCTCCTATGGTTTTGGCGAACGGAGGACGAACGTTTTATAAACAAGGCCCAGTTCGACGCTGGATTTGCACATGTTTGATACTGAAAGATGGAGCGGTCCCAGCTATAAAAGATCACCGTCATGATTCAGAACTGCAGACAGTAAGTGAAACGGCATCAAATGTCGTCAAGTGCTCGTCACTCTTTAGCTCCGCCCACGGCACGCCTCCAGGAGCTTCCGGAGAGAATCGTAAAGCTGTATCTTTCTTTTATAAATCTGATAAAACTAAAGACTTTTTGGAGATATGAAGGATGCAGTATATAGGTACTCAAGATTAACATGAGATTGGGTGAAACTGTGTGCATTCTCTCCCCTTTAAAGTGATACTTTGGTTTGTAGAGATCAAAGCTTGATCTAGCTCAGGACTGTTTTGATTATCATAACCATACAAGGTATTTTAAGAGAGACTATGATGTGAATAAAATAGTTTAACCAAAAATAAAGGTAAAATAGTCTTTTCACTTACCTTGATTTTGTTTCTTACCCATATGAAAAGGAAAAATGTGTCATTCAGTTTCTTTTTCATATAGCTAATTAAATGGTGAATAAGAGAGTTTCTCTATCTGTCATCTCATTTTGTGTGCCAAATTTATTTATTTGTTAATTGTATAAATATTGTAATTACTATGGGTAGGACAATATATCGATATGGCGATATATCGTTGTCCTTCTCCATGCGATACGAGAATCGATATCTGGCGCCAAATATCTGTATTTTAATTATTACAATAAGGCGCTCTATATAGATTTTCCTGCTCCCAGCGTCTAAAAATGCGTGGAAATCGCGGCCGCGCCATTTCCAACTTTTTTTCCAAAGCGCTCTGAGCACCCATGAACTGCGCTCTCTATGAAGATGGGGAAGCACGAGGAATCGAAGGATAAACCGATTTCCAGCCACTGTATTAGCTCTACTGCTATACATATGTTTATGGAAATGAGAACTAAAAAACTGCCCCAGAACAGCTATCGGCGTGGACCATAGGCACTGATCACTTACAGCAGAACGCATATTCAGTCCATGAGTCCATTATAGGATTGTCTAGCAATATATTGATTATCGCAGAATCGCTGCATCGTGATATTAATGTATCGTGATTCGTATCGTATCGTGAGGTACCCTGCGATTCCCACCACTAGTAATTACATAATCTGGCCGTAATGTGGCGCAGAAGTGTGCAGTGTGTGTGCTTGCCGCGTGTCTACATTTGAAATAACGAACTTGAGCTCGCAAAAGACGCGATGTGAACAGCTATGTCATGCGCGGGGCTCTGTTTTTATGATGAGAGGAGAGGAAAGGTTGAGAAAACACTGCAGGTAAATTTTGAAATGTACCAGGTTTATATATATAAGCTATATATAAAGTTGATAAGCAGTTAAATGTGTTGGTTTACACACAAAGAAAACTGTAAGCTTTTAATAATGATTAGTCGATTAATCGTTCTAATAATCGTTAAGATTAATCGATTACCAAAATAATCGTTTGTTGCAGCCCTACTTGGTATATTATAAACATGCCTCCATAGTACGCCACATTTCTGCCTCTGGGTTTGCCATATTTTTTGGCATAGTCAACAGCAGATATCGTAGCCTAACTTGGCTGTCAATGACGGTGCCTGACTGAACCTGTACAGTGAATATGGCTAATAACAGCTTATCATCTCACCTGCAGCAGCTGTTGTTTGAGCTTCTGGATCTCTGAGATGTTGAGCTCATTCAGCAGATTGTCCACGAGGCTGGAGGAAGGGTGGAACCGCTCTCCTTTTTTGGGCGTGGAAACACGGTTGTCGTTGTTGTCGATCTTGTCAAAGCCATTCTCGTACACGTGGAGGGGTTCGTCGTTGTTGGGCTCGATTGAGGTGTCGTCGCTGAACTTCAGCCCATCGAGGGAGATGCTCAAAGGACTGTGGTACATCGAGTCTCCGATGGTCATGTACTGCGACAACTCCTTTCTTAAGGCGGCCTGGATTAATGGAGCCCAACAAATATCATTAAATCAGACCTCAGGGTGGACTGGCAGACGCCTACAGCAGGCTTTCATCTGAAACAAACACTTTCTGAAGAAATTGCAAAAACTCACTGCCATGGTGCTTGTGCTGTGGGTGGTTGATCTTTGGTTTCTCTGTTTTTTTGAGTGGGTTTTAGTGTGTTACTAAGCAACTACGGAGGAGTTCTTGGTGGTTTCAACCACCCTCATGTCAAGTCCTTAAATATAAATAGGACCGTTTTCCTCATCTTAACCAAAAATGTCCAAACACAGAAAAGTAAATGGCACACACAAGTTGTTTGTTGATGGAAATGTGTGCAATGTTTGCATTCTCTTTAGTCGAATTATTAGAAATGTGCCTACAAATGCTAAATATTTAGTTAGTGAAGGAAATCCCAAGTTTTTTTTTAATCCTGATTCCACTTATGATTCAAGTTCCTTTGTGACTCCATTAATGAAAGCACCCCATCCCGGCCCCCACAATAATAGGGCCTATACTACATTCATTTCACTTCGTCAAGTCCATTTTATTTATATATCACTTTACGCCGTGTACATTGACAGTTAGATGAGTTTAGTACAAAATGTATGTTTAGTATTGTTTAAAAGATTATGATATTAATTAAGATCTCATATTTAATAGTATTATCAATTTGACTGCTCTGACACTATTGGATGAGAACAAAACTTGACCTTAACTGAATAATGACACTACCGCTGATCGCTGAAATTAACTTGTTATAAACTGACAAACTTTACACAGTTATTGAACTGAATCAACACTGAACTGACTTGAGCTAAATAATGACACTATTATTCCGCTATTAATAAATTATTAAATCATTAAGCGCTATATAAATAAAGGCGACTTGACTAGTGATGCAGCAAAATTCAGTTTTTACCCAAACACAACCATCTAAACTTACACACAAGGCAGTAACTTTTTTTTAATGATATAACTAGGTTTCTACTCAAATTTGTTGTTGAAATACACACATTTAAAAAAGGGTCTGTAATAAAAACTTGTTTTCATTACAGATTTAATCAAACATATTAAATAATAAAGACAACAGGTTAAATGCAAATACAAGGAATATGTAATATACAGCATACATTTAGCAAAATCTAGACACTTTTTTTCTAGTTGACTAACGAGTTTATAGTCATTGAATGGCTTTCCTGAGGTAAAAGTTACAACATATGACAAACTAACACTTCAAACACTGACAAGTCTCACCAGCCTAAGAATACTTTTGACAGATTCGGTAAAATGAACCCGTTCATAAGACTTGTCAGACATAAGACTCATTCACTTGTCACTTAGACTACACTGGTGGGCTCTATGTTTGATGGTGGAAAGATAATGAAACAAAGAAAAAAGTTCCTCCTCCAGTATTCAATCATTTCCCAGTGTTTATTTATTTTAATAGAACCTGTTTTTCATTTCTAGCTTATCTTACGGAGAGGTCACACTACCCATAATATATAGCTGTAAATAATAATAATAGGTTACACTTTATTTTGATAGTCCACTTTAGACATTCTACTAACTATAAGTAACTTTGTAACTGCGTGTCAACTACATGTCAACAAATTCTAATTAATTCACAACTACATGTCTACTAACTCTCAGAGTACACTGTTAGGGTAGGTTTAGGGTTAGTAGAATAAGTTGACATATACTTGCAAAGTTTCTCATAGTCAGTATGTTGTATGTTGTGGACCCATCAAAATAAATTGTTAGAAGATATTAAGCAGACAGTCTACTAATACTCTAATGACTGCTAGTTGACATGTAGTTACAAAGTTACTTACTGTTAGTGTCTAAAGTGGACTATCGAAATAAAGTGTTACCTAATAATAACATAAAAAAAGAAAGAAATTCATCTCTTGCCTTCTGCTCCCTCTCAGTCTTGATGGTTTCCAGCGCCTCCCCGAGCTGCCTCTCTGCGATCTCCTTCAGACGGATGGCGTCTTCCAACTGGCTGTTCAGAAACTGGGTATCTTCCTCCAGACGACGAATTTCATGTTTCAGACCCTCAAACTCAACCTACAAGATATCACACACACACACACACACACCAGCTTACTGTGACTAATGCCACATTATCACTGTCTCTAGTAGAAACTCCACGGATGGAACTCATATTTATTACGGATGGCAGCCGAATGTCACCTGGCTCTGTTTTAAGACAGAAACATGTTTCTGGAGGGTGATGTTCTCCTCCTCGAGTTCGCTGTAGTCCTGCAGCAGACGAGCCTCTCTGAACTTGAGCTCCTTGACGTCGTCGTGCAGACGAGACCTCTGCAGCTCCACCATCTGACTGCTCTGAAAGACAGCAGAAGCAGCTGGTCAGTGCCTGCTTTCTGCTCAGAAATACAGCAATACTGTGAAATATTATACAAATTTAAAACAGCTGTTTTCTGTGTGAATTTATGTTAAAATGTAATCAAAGCTGAATGTTCAGCATCATTACTCCAGTCTTCAGTGTCACACGATCTTCAGAAATCATTCTAATATGCTGATTTGCTGCTCAAGAAACATTTCTGATTATTACCAATGTTGAAAACAGTTGTGCTGCCCAATATTTTTGTAGAAACTGTGATACATATGTTTCCAGGATTCTTTGATGAATAGAAAGAATAGAATTTATTTGGACTAGACATTTCTGTTTACTTGTCACTTTTGATAAATTTTATGTATCCTTGCTGAATAAAAGTACTCGTATCTGTCAGAAAATAATCTTACTGACTGACCCCAGGCTTTGAATCAACCCTCTACAGGGTTGTGAATGGTTGTATGCATCGCTCTAATCAACCACACTTCTATCCTTTGACCTGCTTGCTTCGGTTTATCACTCCATCTGTACGCCTCCCTCTCTATCTCTCCGTCTTTGCCCCATCTGCTCAAAACACATTTCATTTCACCTTTGGCTCATTAATCCCATCCAGAGGACTGTGCCATTAAACACACAATCTCTTTCTTTTCCCAAATCCTCACTCACGTCACGCCATCCGTCTTTTATTGATTTATTTTTGCGTTGATTTTACTAATATAAAGGTTTATATTCTTCATTTTCTTTTAATCCTATATTTGCATCTTTTTCTGTGGTAAAGCAGAAAAACACTGTAGACCAGATACCGGTTTAGTGTCAAACACAAGATTATTATTATTACGTCCTTAAGTTTTTTTGAATTCAGTAAATAATGATAAAGGTTGATCAGCACAACAAATCATTTGTTGATGAATTAGACATTACTGGTCTCTGTGCATTCGTACAGCATTATATAATGGGTTTCAGTCTTTATCTTTCCTCACATTCAGTTTTAACACAGTTTGTGTTTGTTGGGCAAGGTATGGCACGTCCAGTCAGTGGTGTAGACAGAGGCGGGGACACTTGCCCATCCGGAAAACTGACTGGCCCCCCCAGTGTCCCCCGACCCCTATAAATATAAAGCCAACTTGCTAAATGTAATACATTTGCGGCTCACAGTTTCAGATTTAAATAAGGTTTTCCTGCATTTTTTCAGCCAGTGTGTAAGCAACATTTCAGGCTGCACAAATGCTAGGCTTTATTTGGAACCATTTTCATTGGCGACACAGAAAAAAAAAAACATACAGTATTGTGTCTAAAATGTAACTCACTCAATATTAACTTGTTTTTTTGAACTGTTATATACAGTAATATCACATTCGTGATTATGCTCACAAACTAACATTCAGGAAAATGGCACTCTTGCTATGTGATATTACACAACTATATCATATCTTACAAATATTTTTAAAAACCCCTACAGGGATATTTTTTGCTTTCATAACTTGAATTATCAGAGCATTCTAACTGTATTCTAATAGGCTTCATCCCGCAGTGACTGCTTTTGGACTCTCAATACGTGTTTTTGTTTGTTTTCTGCAAAGTGAGTGATATAGTCGATAATATCAGCTTGCATATCATTAAAACAACAATTACAAAACTATCATAAGCGATATATCGCACACCCCTCAACTAATACTTGTTTTAAACATCTGTTCCCGTTATAAGAGTCAATCAACCGAGCACATCTTGATTTTTTTTTCCAACCGAATTTTCCCCCACTCTTCCCAACAGAAAGTGCTCCAGATCGATATTGCTGGAGATTTCTTGACCTCTTCAACTCACTCCACATGTTTTTTGATTGGATGTTGGTGCTCCTTCATAGAAATCTGTGAAGTTTAACAAGAGACTCAGGAGCTGTCAGGAGTTTTAACGCAAAATGGTAATAATTTGAATGTGTGTACCATTACACACCTCATGAAAGCATATTTGCATTAACAGTGTTCACCATTGTGGTGTTAAAGAGCAAGGGTGCTTCAGAGCAAACGCAGCCGAACCTGAAGCTGCTGAGCGGCGTTTGGATGAATATGTAAATATATGCTGCGCGCTTTCTTCTCAAAGATATAAACTGAACTATAAAGTTTGCACAGTTTATGTAATAAACATAAACTGACAGCGGTGAGAAAGCAGCAGTTAAGAAAGCATCTGATTATGAAAAATATCCATATTCAAAACGTAATAATCACTTTAATCTAGCTTGCGCTCACTGTTGTAAACAGAAGCAGTTCCGGGGGAATGACGTATGAGTTCAGCGTTGCGCATGCGCCGCTCAGAAGTGACGCACGGGGAAGCGCAAGGGAGAGATCAAAACAAAACAATGGTCACTAATTAGAAGTACAAAACGAGGATTTGTAAAGAAGAATGTCGGAGGATTTCGATATAAGCCAAGAGGAGACTGGTTTTCCTTTGCTAAAGTAAGGAAACTTTGCTTCCTTTGCTCCTGTTAACAAACGTTGGTTTTCACGAGACTCACCGGCGCATGCGCAACACTGAACTCATACGTCATGCTCCCGGAGCTGCTTCCAGTGTACAACTGCTGGCGCAAGCTACATTAAAGTGATTATTACGTTTTGAATATGGATATTTTTCTTACAAAAACACATCGCTTCGCTACAGGAGGCCTTTATTCACCCCCCGGAGCCTTGTGTGACACTTTTTTAATGGATGGGTGCTTTTTATTTAAGTTCTTTTGGACTGAAGCACTGCAACACCCGCTGAGTGGCATTAAACAGCTTGAAAGATCAAAGACCATTTTTAATATAACTCCGACTGGATTCGTCTGAAAGAAGAAAGTCATATACACCTAGGATGCCTCGGGGGTGAGTAAAGCACTGCCTAATTTTCATTTTTGGGTGAACTAACCCTTTAAATCAAGAAACTTTACAGCATTAAACATGAAAAACCAGAGTCAGTGTCGCTTTCAGTTAGAATTACAACTTGCTTTTCTGTTATAAAGCAGCTTTTCAGTGTGGAGTTAGCAAACGATAAAATCTTTTTATAAGTGGGAAAAAATAAGTGATACTTTGGTTTGCAGAGATCAAAGCTTGATCTACCGCAGGACTGTTTTGATTATCATAACATACCAGGTATTTTAAGAGAGATTGTGTTGTAAATAAAATATTTAATCCAAAAATAAAGCGTCTTATCACTTTATTTTTGTCTTTATTTTACCTTTATTTTGTTTCTTACCCAAATGACTTACAAAAGGAGATGTTAGGCAGAATGATGTGTCATTCAGTTTCTTTTTCATATAGCTAATTAAATGGTGAATAAGAGAGTTTCTCTATCTGTCATCTCATTTTGTGTGCCAAATTTATTTATTTGTTAATTGTAATTACATAATATCATTTTCAAAAGCTGAAGTGATTACCTTTATTTATTTGTTACAATATGTTTTACTCAATATTTTAACTAATTGCAAAAGCTGAATAATCAAAGTCTACTGATTAATCAGTGAAATAATCAACGATTAATAGTCGTTAGATTAATCTATTATCCAAATAATCGTTTGTTGCAGACCTACTTCTAATTTCTTTAATGTATTCCTCAGCATGTGAGCGTCCTAACGATCCAAACACAGGCGGAGACTGACCTCTCGGAGTTCCTGAGTGATGGTGGCGAGCCGATCGTTCTCTGACTGGACGTTGGTCAGGATGTTACGTGCTTGTCGCAGCTCAGACTGCAGCTCTTGCATGCGCTGCTCGTAATACGCCTCCTTACACGCCGACTCCTGGATCAGCGACTCCTCGCGGCTCTCGCCATCAGCCGCCACCTTCCTGTGGTTGGAGTGGGCCTGTCCAAACGCCTGCGCAACGCAAGGAGGATACAAAGATTAGAGGAAACAAGCGGTATACCATGCAAACTCTGCGTTCAAAAGTGTGATCAAATCATATAGAACCACTGCAGCAACAAGTCAAGTCACTTTTATTTCTATAGCGCTTCATAAAATACAGACTATTTCAAAGCAGCTTCACAGTAAAAAACAGGAAAATAGCAGAATCATTGCAAACTTCATCAAATATGAAACAAATCCAAATGTGACAAAAGAGAAAAAGAAAGAATGAAACATCAGCATTCTCAAAACTATCATTTACTCATATTTTGCTTGGAGCGCAGAAACTGCTCTCTTATGTGCGCTCCACGTCTTGTCATATTAAATATTGTTACGGTCATTACAATGAATAATCAACAATGCGGCAAATTGAGGCGTATGAAACACATCTTTAATGAATTAATGAACTGTCAAATATACATATCATGAATCAAAAAATTATTTGTCACTAAACAACTCTGTGACAAACATCACAATTAAAGTTTAAACATCAGATCATCACTTATAAGAAAATGCAATAAAAAAAACAACAACACAATTACAAACATTTTTTGCAGGTCCTGACAATTATACAAACCAGCATGGTTACAGAAACAGTTTCTTACAGGAGTTTCTTGTCTTTCTTTTGTGTTCCGAAAATGAACGAAGGTCTTACGGGTTTGGAACGACAAAAATTAGCATTTTTGCCCAGAACTAACCAATTTGTTTTTTTGAGACTCATTTGACAATAACAGTCTACATTATTGTTTGATTATAGTAAAAAAATAAAAATAAAAAAAGTTTAGCCAAAATTTAAAATCTTTACTATGCTAAAACAGACACAATTGCTCTCTCTATGCACCCCTTATTCACATAACTTTATTTTTAATTTTACTATCTGTGTACAGTTGTTGTCTCAGAGTCTGCACTATAATCTTTTTTCTTTCACCAAAACAAATTTCTTGTGTGTGCAATGGCAATAAATCTCTTTCTGATTCTGACAAATAGTACTTTTTCCTATACCCTTTACACAAAGAAAGAAGCTCAAAGAGTGGTTCAAATAAATATAATTAGAAACCGTATGGGACAGACAATGATTCTACACAGGGCCGTCGCTAGCGGGGCAAAAGGTGGTGACATTTCTAAGGGCCCCGGGCTTGAAGGGTCCCTCCTTCCGGAACGCGTTTTCAAGGGGGCCCACAGCAACAACCTGCATTGGGCCCCGGATACCCCAGCTACAGCCCTGGTTCTATAAAAGATTTGGAGGCCTTCATATTTACAGGGCCCAATAGTAACAGGAGTGCCTGAGAGCCCTCACAGACCAAAAGCCTTGTTCAAGAGGCATTGTATAGGCTAAGGGACACATATATTCAAGCATAAATAAACATACGTTTTCATTGTTGATGGGTTTTTCGTACCAAACTGGATCGCGCAACATTAAAGCCCAGGGCCCCCCCGGGCTCTTGGTAGTCAAGGGCCCCTGGGCACTGGCCCGGTCAGTAATCCATCCCTGGTCATGTGTACAGAGGTGAACTGACAGCGCAGAAGCTCTTTCATGAGATTTTAATTCTCCGCTGCAATACAACCAATACAATACAGCGCAGTAGGGATATGCCGTCTTAGTTCATGTTAGCTCATTAAATAACACAGCTGCAACTCTCGATTTTAACATCCTGTTATTAAATATTGGAATACCTAAGATTAATGAATGTTAAGAAGAATTTTTCATTGTTTATGGGAAAAGTATTCTTAAAATGCATTCAAAATTCAGAATAATTTGTAATATATAATTATTCACGGTATTTAGAAGTGCCCACGATAACAATATCGTGCATATTCATTACCGTGATATATCGCATTACCGAATACCGGCACAAGTCTACAGCGCAGTGACTGGATCAAAAGACTTCATTCTCATAAATAATTCTGAGAAAAGCTCTGAAAACTGATGACGTAGACGTGCACTCTCCAGCCACGGCAGCCAATCACCACTCCAGATTAATGCATATACGTCACTTTTTGTGACTCAACTTTGCTTTTTGAACCGGAAGAAAGAAATTGCTCAAAAAAAATAATTAAAAAAATAACCACTTTTCCCTTAATAATAGACATAAACCTGTTCCTATATGTTAACATCTAAAAAAAAAAAAGTGTTTTAGGGTTTCATGACATTAAGTTTTTTAAAATGTATGGCAGAAATTTTTAAGTCTTACACTGTGCCCTAACTACATGCAACAAGCATTTCTTCCATATTAATCAGAAAAAAATGTGTTATAGCTTTTTTTTTTTTTTACAGAAAATGCTAAATTCCTGGAGAGGTCTATAAGAGGACTTCACAAAACCATCTAATCAGTATCAACTGGAATGTTCATCTATAATATACTCAAATTTATATTTAATACATTAGAATAAAAATTGCTGGAGTGAAAACGGGAAAAAGTTGTTGCTACCCATGTAGGTCGTTTCTAATCACGTACTTGTTATGAAGTTCTATTTCAGTCAGGATGCTGCCGTAGAGAACAGCTGCCCTTTAAAAGCCACACAGCAGCACAGCTCAGTAAGTTTATTGTTCACATGATCATTCTTCTGAGCCGGCCGGAGGAGGAGGAAGTGTTTCCTAAGGGTGAGAGAGTTTCCTGTGTTTCCTGTGAGCTCAGGCACCAGGTGAAGCAACTTTGTTGATGCTGAATGCTGAATTTAATGAATTACTTTAGGGTACCCCATGTAAGTACAGTATAGTTTAGCACAATTATTATCATGTGTATTTTTACTTTCTTGCACCAATTTTGTTGATGCGATTGTCAACTGATTGGCCAACTTTTCTCAAATCACCTACCTTCCATCTTCACTAGTTAGATATGTAGATATTTTATTTAAATCTCCTGGTCTGTGACATGTTAAGATATTAAATGACTAAATGTGAATGACTAAAATATCTTGGCAATCTGCCATTACAGAGAGATCGTAGTATAGTGCTATCAGTTGCAGTTCTAGGGCTGTTTCATTGTTTTTGATGGCTGATTATTGCTGATAAGGCTGATTATTGTTTTTGATTATCATCTCTATCGTGGATACACTCATGTCACATTTCAGCTCCTCATCATCATGGAAGTGTATTATTTGCACACATTTTAAAGCCTTTCTAAACCTTCCAAACTTTTTTACTCCCACACTGTTCTAGCTAGGGGTGTGCGATATATATCGTCTGCGATAACATCGTAATTGTTGTTTTAACGATGTGCAATTTGACGTTATCGAGTATTTACCAAAATTATTTGGCCGAAAATAGCAAAAAAAGCTCTTTCGGTGTTCGGCCGAATAAGCGAAAATACCGAATAAATTGTACCGAACAATGACGTGCCGCAATCAAATAGAGGCACGCGCTAATGCAGCAAACATGACGGCAGAGTGGAAACAGCTGTCCGAGAAAGACGCAAAAATCATTACAAGCACCGACAGCGAGAGACTGTTTAGGACTGCATCGCATGTCTTCGATGAGAAGAGGAAGTGGTGGTTGTTGCTGGTTACTGTATGATGATTAAAATCGCGAAATGCCCTCAATTAAATAAATAAACTGGTGGTTGTTGCTGGTTACTGTATGATGATTAAAATCGCGAAATGCCCTTAAACAATTAAATAAACTGCAGAATGTTATGTTTTCTAATACACGCATGAATTGCATGTGTTCAAACAGTGCTGCACGAGCTCGCGGCGGTAGGGTTCAAAGTCAAAGGCGCGAGGGAATCTGCGCTGAAACAGAGTTACTCGTCAGCTGCTCAGTAACATTTTTATGAATTTTTACAAGGCATGTGACAATGCGATACGTGCAACAAACATCTTCCCTAATTCGTAATGAGAATCATTTGTCTACAAAAAGAAGCACTGAGCAAAAATACATGCCTGATTCAAGAAGGGGGTCTAAAAAATGGCCAAAAAATATTATTTTACCAACTTATTAATTTTAAGTTAAGTTGTGTTTTATTGGTATAATGTCTGCTAGAATGCTAAAAGATTTGGATTTGAGACTTTAGTCTTTGCAACTTTACAGATCTTCTTTATGCATCAAGAGCTTGTAACACTCCAAAGAGAAAGGAAAAATTGAAATCGCATCATATGACCCCTTTAAGTAAATATTTTTAAATTGTTGTTTTGTAAATGATTTTTTTCTTTGAAAAGCAAGACAAAACAGTAAAAAGCACATTTTGGCTATTTCATTTATGCAATGGTGAAAAAATTGGCAAAATGGGGGAAAAAAACGTGTTCGGTATTCGGCCTGATATTTACACATCTGTAAATGTCACAAATTCACGCAAGCCTTTCCATTTTTTCCTGACAGTCTGCGTTAAATTGAAATCTTTACTGAAAGAGCGCCGGCGCGGCGAGGACGCACATTAAACAGACGGAACACAGAGAGGGAGACAATATTCGGCGCAAAAACATTCATTGTGCTGAAATATCTGTTGTTGAACATTAAATTTAGGTTAAAAAGTCAACATGCAGTGCGAGTAATTTATGAGAGTAGGAACTGTGAAGGGACAGCACCATGTAATTGTCTGAATATAAATGTCAGATGCTTTTACAGGATAAAGAAATCACAGTAAGAGGAGACTGACTGTGATCAAAGTGCACGCGATGCGTGTACCTGCAGAGCATTACTGTGATTTTATTTGTCTTTATTATTTTAATTTTTGATCTAGAGATTTAAACTATATTCACTATATAGCCTACAGTGATTAACAAATTTATTAAAACAAATTTATGTAAGGTTTTTAACCAATTTTGTAAGGTTTGTGCCACTGCTGCTCTTAACTAACAGTACTGGTAATTACCAAAATCAGGTTTTAGCTTTCTGTATTGGTTAGTCCTCCAATATGCATAAGCTCTTTAGTAACAGTAGTACGCTATTTTTTTAATGCTATAATATAATTATTGCTGTTATCTGTGAAAGAAAGGCAGAAAAAAATTGTCAAGTGCTTTATAGTGTTTTTTTATTC